AACAATAATTAGAAGCCCAAAATTTTAATAACAATTAATACAACAATAATAATAATAATAATAACAAATTTTTTAGATAAATTAATAATAATTTTTTATGAAAAACTTATGATTTGTTATTATTATTATTATTATTATTTTTTTTTTCACTATTTATCAGCATCTAATTACAATTAGGATGAAATTAGTTATAATAACAATAATAATAATAACAACAACAACAATAATAAAAATAATAATAATAATAATACAATTTTTAGAAAAATTAATAATAATAATTTTTTATAAAAAATTTATGAATTATTATTATTATGAATTATGATTAAATTAAAAAAAAATAAAAGCGCACCTTGAAGAAAAACTGAAAAATTTTACTTGACAAAAAAAGTACACAACAATAATTAGAAGCCCAAAATTTTAATAATAATGAAAATTTTAATAATTAAAATACACAATAATAATTAAATAATAATAATTTATTATAAAAAATTTATAATTTATTATTATTAAATTAAAAAAAATAAAAGCGCACCTTGAAAAAAAAACTGAAAAATTTAACTTGACAAAAAAGACGACATAATAATAATATTAATTAAAAGCCCGTACGTGACATTAAATTTTTTTTTTTAACGCGGTTATCACAAAATAATAACAATAAATTATTTTTAAACATAAAAAAAACAATCAATACAAAAACAAATCTTCAAATTTAGAACAAAAGTCATCTTGCTGTTTATATAATTTCTTCACATGTTTATTATTTAACTTCTAGTTTTAATTAAAACAAATAAACCTGAACCAAAACTAAAGAGCATTTTTACTCCGAGGTCAATCACCAAACCTCTGGAGAATTTAATTTTATTACCTAAATTAAGATAATATCTTTTAGATGATTAAAAATAGAAGAAAAAAAATCGTTACAATAAGCTTCAAAAAAAAATTAAATTTTAAACGTATTCTTCAATTACTTCCTTTGAAAACAATTCTATAAAATGTACAGTAGATTCCTTATTGATATTCAATCGGTATATCATGAATAATGAGAGTTTATAAATTACAAATAAAATGAATAATTATAATATGTTGTTATTAGTGTTACCTAATCTAAAGTTTGACGGATGACCACCACGTGTTGGAGGCGCTAAGGTCGTTTCGAATAATCATTCTCCCACTATAAAGAGATAGAACAGTAACTGGTGAGACTTGTACACGCAATTATCCACGTATCGTCGTTTTAAAATTAAATTTACGTGCACTAAAAAATAATAAAAATTATTGCTGTATTCGGGAGTTTGCGAAGAAAACAATAAACTGCGGTCAGCTACGCCATAACTGTCATAGCTTCTTCTCTTTCTTCTTCTTCTTCTTCTTTTCTTTCTTCTTAAATTGCAACAGAGAGTGCCTTAAAAATAAAAATTGCAACGTTAAAAATAAAAGTAAAATAAATAGAATGTGTTTTAATAAAATAAAGTAAAAGTTTCTGACGAGAGTATAGACAAAGATCCGAAGAAGAGCACGCATCACCAAATTGTGTCAAGGCCTTTACTCAAAGAATTGTGCTGCTCGAAAAAAGTAAAAGGGACAAAGGACGAGGGCGTGTTGTATTACATTAACTACGGACGTTAATTTATAAGCTTGAAAGAAGACAAAATTTTATTTAACTTTCCAAGACTATTTTATTTATTAGGATTTATCAATATGTGAGACGTTATTGGCTATCGTAGATCGATGTTTTTCTCAGACGTTTCCACGTGGGCAGAATCGTGTGACGTGTGTTTTTATTTAGTTTTCTCACGTGTTATTTCTTCTCGGTATCTCGCTCAAGTCGTTTTAAATAAAAATTTTTATGATTATTATGTATATGATTTTAAGTTTTTTTTTTTAGATACCGACTGTCTATTTTAGTGCCGAGTTCTTAGTCTATGCTGTCTGATATGTTCAGTTGTATGTGTAGTTATGTTTATGTGTGATGTGTATGTTGTTCGAGAAAGATCGAATTAAATATTAATGCCCGCGTTAAAGGAAATTTAATGTCACGTGCGGGCTTTTAATTATTATTATGTCTTTTTTTTTTTTTTTTAATTTAATTTTTTAGTTTTTCTTCAAGGTGCGTTTTTTTTTTAATTTAGTTATAATAATAATAATAATAATAATAAATCATAAATTTTTTATAAAAATTTATTATTTATTTTTCTAAAAAATTTTTTATCATTAATACTATTATTATTATTGTTATTATAACTGATTTCTTCCTAGTAGTAATTATATGCTGATAAATAATAAAAATAATAATAATAATTTTAATATTTATAATAATAATAAATCATAAATTTTTTATAAAAAATTATTATTGTTATTATAACTGATTTCTTCCTAGTTGTAATTATATGCTGATAAATAAAAATATTAATATTAATAATAATTATAATGTGACTTTTAAAAAATTCTTATTATTATTTTTTTATTGTTATTATTACTCTTATAAAAAACTGTCAAATTAATAAAAATAAAATAATAAAAATGATAACTCTTTAAAGAATTTAATTATTATTATTAAAAATTTTTTTTTATGACATGTAAATTTATTTATGACTACAATTGTCATATATCTGATATAAGTAGCTGTTATTTTTATTGTAATTAATTTATACAAATGTTGTATGAGTAAATAAGAAGAAATATGACATTTGAGGACTCACTTAGTAAAGAATTTTAATAAACAAAAATAAATTACTTTATTAAATAATTTATTATAATAAAATTGTTTATGAAAAGTAAAGCATTAATTTTTGTTTTAACATACTAGATATAAATAATTTTAAAAACCTCTAAACGCGCATTAAGTGTTACATTTTATAAAAAGTTAATCTTGCCTAAGCCTAAAGTGTTTATATTTTATTTAAATTGTAGTTGAAAAATTTTTTAATATTTATGCTTAATAGAAAAGAAACAAGGTTTTTTTCTTAAATTTGATTTATAATTTTTTATTCGTCCTATATATCTTCTTATTTTTAAAGAAACTCAAAATTTTAATTTTTTTCTATTTCTTCTTTGAATTTCGTTTTGTTTAAGCTAAAATTTTTATTAAAAATTATATAGTGCAAATGTAATTTTTAAAAAATAAATTTTTTACTCTATGATTATAAAATTTGAAAAAAAATTTACGTAAAACATTTTAATTAAAAAATAATGATTAATTTTTTTAAACTAATTAAATTTAAATTAAAAATAAAATAATTGTTTGCGAATAAAACGTAAAATAAATTATTTTTATTTGTTTCAAATGAATAAAATTGACATAATTATAACATTAAAATTTATTTACTTAATTAACAAATTTATGAATTATTAATATTGTTACAGATGTCGGACTTCCCAAGTGAGCTCGAAAATGGAGATATCCGTTCTCGAGCTGGAATCCAGCTGGATATTAACAAAGACTTTCCGTCTAAAAATAATTTCGGCACAGTGAGAACACACCCACAAGCATCAACATTATCGCAGGTAATAATTTATCCATTTTAAAAGTAACAATAAAAATATTAAAAAATAAAATACAACAGCACTTAAAAACACTTCTATTATATTACACGTTTTATTATCGTTATCTCCCTATCTTTCTCTCGCTCGCTCTTTAGTAAATATTTTTTTTGTCAATGTACGCAACTGTGTAAATTTCTTGGAATCCAAATTTCCCTTCTCTACTCAAAATAATAACACAACAACAACGAAAATATACATTTATCAAAATTTATTGAGTTTAATGAAAAAATGGATAAACATAAAATAAAAACGTAAATTTTTTGAGAAAAATTTTTTACTACAATTTATTATCGATTGAAATACATAGACACGGATAAAAGAAAAACTAATTTGATGACTCAAGCAAAGTAATTTTAAACCAAGATAATTATTTAATACATTTAAACTTTTTTAAAAAATTAATGTGGAATTAAAATTAAATTGACTTTAATTTAAAAATTTACTAACTATAGTTCATATTTAAATATTCCTCATTAATTTCCCTAACAAATTTTTCGATTATATTTTCCTAATTAATTTTCATAAAAAATTATCCTAATAAATTTTCCTGATTAATTTTCTAAACAAATTTCCCTAATTGACTTCCTTAAGAGTTTCCCTAATAAATCTTCCTAATTTATTTTTTTGAAACCTTCACTAATAAATTTTCTTGATAGATTTTCCTTATTAATTTTTCTCATTAGATTTTCTTGATTAATTTTCCTAATGAATTTTCCTTATTAGATTTTCTTAATTAATTTCTCTAATAAATTTTCCTAATTAATTTTTACTAAAACCTTCCGAAGTATATCTTCCTAATTAATTTTTCTGATGAGTTACCCTAATAAATTTACCTAGTAGATTTTTCTAATTGATTTTCTTTTAAAAATTCTTCTACTAGATTTTCCTAGTAAATTTCCCTAATAGATTTTCTATATTAATTTCCCTTATTAAATTTTCCTAATTGATTTTTATTATAGACTTCCTTAAGATATCTTCCTAAATAATTTTCTTCATAAATTTTCCCGATTAATTACCCTAATAAATATACCTAGTAGATTGTTCTAATTAATTTTCTTCAAAAATTCCCTTCAATAGATTTTCCTAGTGAATTTTCCTAATTAATTTTTACTATAAACCTCTATAGTATATCTTCCTAATTAATTTTCTTCATAAACTTCTCTGATTAATTATCCTAATAAATTGACCTAGTAGATTTTTTTTAATTAATTTTCTCTGAAAATTCTCCTACTAGATTTTTCTAGTGAATTTTCCTAATAGATTTTCTTCACTAATTTTCTTTATTAAATTTTCCCAATTGATTTTTATTATAAACTTCCCTAATATATCTTCCTAATTAATTTTGTTCATAAATTTTTCTGATTAATTACCCTAATAAATTTACCTAGTAGATTTTTCTAATTAATTTTCTTCACTAATTTTCCTAGTAAATTTCCCTTATTAAATTTTTCTAACTGATTTTCATTGTAAATTTCTCTGGTATATCTTCCTAATTAATTTTCTTCATAAATTTTTCTGATTAATTACCCTAATAAATTTACCTAGTAGATTTTTCTAATTGATTTTCTTCAAAAAACTCTATTAGAATTTCGTAATTATTTTCCCTAGTAGATTTTTTCCTAAGAAACTCATTTCTTATCTAAAAATTTTTCAGTCAATAAAAATTCTAATTTATTATTCAAAAGTAAATTTCTTCACTAAAAATTTTCACTAAATTCTTTTATCAATAAATAATGAAAAGGTCAAACATTCGCCACTTTCTGAATCACTGACACAAAAATTAACTTTGTAGAAAATTGACATAATCCCTAAAAATAAACCAAACTTTGTCACAAATCAACAAAATATATATTTCTTCTTTACTAATCCGCAAATTTCATAATTCTAATTATCAAGAGATTTGTAATAACTTCCGGGATAGTTTTTATGAATAGTTAACTGTAAATCATTAAAGACTATAAAAAAATAAAGAAAGTAACAGGCCGATGGAGGGAAATGTTTCAGTCACTTGCATAATGCCCTCTACCTTGAATACAAAATTGGCATGGGATCAAAACTCGCTGCCAATTTAAATGTTTTCTTCTTTTATTTTTTAAATATTTTAAATGCGACAGATAGATGAGTCGACAGAGAGCTAGACAGGTGTAGACTCTAAGATATGTAGATAGAAGCTAAGGTAAGGGACAAGTGGTAAATCGTATCCTTGGCATTCTGAAACACCGTCAGCGGCAACTTATAAAACTTAACGGAACTCCGATCCGCGGATTAGCGTCGAGTGACATGAGTATGAGTCACGGACTTTTAAATTGGAATCGAAATAGGATTTTATTTAAACACGCGGTGATATGATTCTTTTTTTATCGTTTCAGAGGCACCACAGCCAAGGTAGTAGCACCAGTAGTAGCACCAGCAGCACCTCGAGCGCTTCGAGCAGCACCAAAACAAGGAGTTTGCTGTCAACAATAACATCGTCTTCAAAGAAAGAACTCAATGCGGTTAAGACTAATATCACTGATTTGCGTTCTGGAATCGATGAAATGAAGACTATTTACTCGAGATCGCATCGAGCACACAATCTTGATAGGTAATTTCATTTCTTCTTATTTATTATTAAAACTAACTATTTTTGTGTGCAATTTTTTGGGTAGAAGTTATAAAAACCGACTTTTTTACTAAAATATGCGAGATACGGGAAAATTGATCTTGAACTTTTCTGTAACAAAATTTCATTTAGTACAAAAAAGGCATTTTTTTGTATCTTCAATATTTTACTCAGAATGTGGAGTTTAAACTTCTACAAAATAATTTTTCCTAATAGACTTTACTCGAAAATTTTCTAATAAAATTTTCCTAATGCATTTTTTTCACAGAATCTTCTATTGAATTTACCTAGTAAATTTTCCTAATTATTTTTCTTCCTACAATTTTGCCATTGTTTTTTCCTAATAAAATTTTTTAAAAAACTCACCTAATAAATTTTTCTAATTCATTTTTATAGTCGGGCTTACTAATACTGTTTCCTAGTAAATTTTCCTCATGATATAACCCAAATTCATTTTCCTAATAGAATTTTCCTAATAAATTTTCTTTCTATAATTTTTAATAGATTTACCAAATATAACTTTACTAGTAGTTTTTTTTTTCATAGAATTTTATTAAATATATTTACCTAACTGATTTACCTAGTAGAATTTCCCTAATACGTTTCCCTAACTGATTTTTCCGTTAGAATTTTTTTAATAGATTTTCCTGATAAATTTCCTTAATAGAATTTTACTAATACACTTTCCTAATAAATTTTCTTTGTCTGATTTTTTTAATAAAATTCTCTCGTAGATTTATCTAATAGAATTGTACTTATAAGTTTTCCTAATAAATTTCCCTAACTAATTTTCGTAATAATTTTCCCTAATAGATATTCCTAATAAACTTTTCTCATAGAATTTTCTAATACCTTTTCTTAATTCATTTTCTTGATAAATTTCTTAGTAAATTTCCCTAATACATTTTCCTAATAGAATTTATAGTAAAATTTTTTATTAATTTCCCTAATCAATTTTCCTAAAAAGATTTCCTTGTTTGATTTTCCCAATTGAATTTTCTAATCGATTTACCTGATAGAATTTCACTTATAAGTTTTCCTAATAAATTTTCCTAATACTTTTCCCTAATAGATATTCCTAAAAAATTTTTCTGATAGAATTTTCTAATACCTTTTCTTTACTCATTTTCCTTACAGATTTTCTTGATAAATTTTTTAACAAATTTTCCTAATAAATTTTCTTAACTGATTTTCCTAATAGAATTTATCGTAATATTTTAAATAAATTTTCCTAATACATTTTCCTAATAAATTTCTTAACTGACTTCCCTAATACTTTTCCCTAATAGATATTCCTAATAATTTTTTTATAGAGTTTTCTAATACCTTTTTTTTATTTTTTTCCCTAATACATTTTCCTAATAAAAATTATAGTAAAATTTTATATGAATTTTCCTAATAAAATTTTCTTGTTTGATTTTTCCAATGGAATTTTCTAGTAGATTTACCTAATAGTTTTCCTTTTAATACCTATAAGTTTTCTTAATAAATTTTCCTAATACTTTTCCCTAATAGATATTCCTAATAAATTATTTTCATGGAATTTTCTAATATCTGTTCTTTATTCATTTTCCCGATAAATTTTTTTAGCAAATTCCCCTAATTAATTTTTCTAATAAAATTTATAGTAAAATTTTCTATGAATTTTCCTAATTGATACCATAAATTCCTAATACATTTTTTTTTTTATTTACCAATTTTACTAATAAATTTAATTTTTCTTAAATCAGAGATGGAAGCGCAAGCATCACCGACGATGACCAACCAGTGGTCACCTTCCCCGACTCGGACACTCCATCTCCGACGAGTCTACGACCCCGGAACATGAGTATCGACTCGTCCTCCCAACTTGACCCCCTGAACTCGTTCAGTGACCTCCACCACATAAACACACCACTGAATATCTCGAGCATGGGGCTTGCCGGTCAAGAGAGCATGAAATTCGAAGAGAAAAAAATGACCAGCACGTCCACTACCAAGGTAAAATCTCAGGTGACGATTGATTAGCTAACAAACTGTATATCTGTCTCGGGTCGAGGTTGCTTTGGGATAAATCTGTAGTTAATTAAAATCCGTGCCAATTGTTACTTTTTAGCTGGTCACGGACAGATTCAGCGCGGAGAAAGCCACCGCCAATTGTGAAGAAATGCGGGCTTTGCAAGCTGGAGATGTTTCTTACAAAGAAGAAAGCGCTGCTACTGCTGCTAGAGCTCGTGTTGAAGTTGATGGAGTTTCTGCTGAAAAAAGCGTCGCTACAGCGAGGGTAATTAATTTACATTGATTAATAAAAATTAGTAATTTTTTCAAGTATTTAAATTTTATAAAAATTTAAATTTAATCTTTAGAAAAAAATATTCCAAAAAATTACCTTAATTTTTTTTTAATAAAGAAAACTTATTAATTTTAATTATAGAAAATTAGACAGAAATTAAAATAAATTGAAAATTTTATTTTTATCTTTAACAAAGATTGAAATTAAAAAAAAAAATTTCCAATAATAATTTTAAATCAACAGAACTTTTCAAAATTATATCTTCTTTTATTAAAAAAAAAAAAATAATTCAAAAGCTTATAAAAGTATTTAAAATAATTTGAAGCATTATAAACTATTGAAAATCAAATTATCTGTATTAATAAGAGAATAAGTAAAATTTTGTGGCCAGTGTATTTATATGATAAAATGGGTTTTTATGGTTAAATTTGGTATCATTCTCACCGATAGTCAATTTATGATGATAATTATTTAGGCTGCACTCGAGAATTCTTTATCCATGGTTACATAATTAAGAAATGACGTTGTATTTTGAGAATTATTGACATTTTTAAAGATATAAGCTCATCCTGATGTTACACTCTTCAAGACCTTTCATTTAAGTATCCACATCAATTTTTCATATATTTTATATATTTATATATATGTATATGTGAAAAATATATCAAAATGCATGTGGGTACTCAAATAAAAGCTCTTGATGAGTGTAACATCGGGATGAGCTTATATCTTTAAAAGCTTCAGTAATTAAGAAAATACAGTGCCATTTGATTTAATTAAGAAACGACCTTGTATCTTGTGAACTATTGACATTTTTCAAGATATAAACTCATCTCGATGCTATGATCATTAAGAGCTTTCATTTGAGTACCCACATCAATTTTTCATATATTTATATATTTTATACATGTATATATGAAAAATATATGAAAATGCATGTAGGTACTCAAATGAAAGCTCTTGATGAGTGTAGCATCGAGATGAGCTTATATCTTTAAAATCGTCTATAGTTAAAAAAATACAGTGCAATTTAATATAATTAAGAAATGACTTCGTATCTTGTGAACTATTAAAATTTGTAAAGATACAAGCTCATCCCGATGTTACACTCATCAAGACCTTTCATTTGAGTACCCACATCAATTTTTCATATATTTTATATATTTATATATATTATATATATGTATGTATGAAAAATATTTAAAAATACATGTGGATACTCAAATGAAAGCTCTTGATGAGTGTAACATCGTAATGAGTTTAGATTTTTGGAAATATCAATAATTAAGATATGACCTTGTATCTAGTGAACTATTGACATTTTTAAAGATATAAGCTAACCCTGACATTACACTCACTGAGACCTTCCATTTGAGTAGCCACATTAATTTTTCATATATTTCATATATATATATATATATATATATAT